ACACCCAAATTGAACCCGGAACGTCTTCAACCTTTCAACGCCCTAGCTACTAGATTGATCAACCTTCCGCTAATCAATCACCTTCGCACTCGCTTGATTGTTGAACCGACGATTCCGTAACAAAAGCCTTCAAAACCTGTAGTCTTGATAGGTAAAACCTCAAAGGTTTTCTCCCAAGAAACACCTGCACCAGCTTCCACTCGAACCGGATCTTCAATCACGCGTTCGAACCTTATCACCGTCGAGCAAACCACAAACCGCAGCAAAAAAAATTGATTATCTGTAATTTGAGGATTTGTGAGTTGATTGAACGATGAAGATGAAGAACACTGATGCACCTCTTTCACGTTTCTTGACCTGAACACTTTCTCACAATGCTTTCAAAAATGTTAGTTGTTAAAATTGAAAAGACAGCTATTTATAGTAATATACAAAACAGACAGTTGACAGATCAATGAAACATAGCAGAATTTCTGTTTCTGCGCGCGAACGGTCGACCATAGGGTCGGCGTGCGCTGAGCCGTGTGACACTCAAACTGTCATGCGCCGAGTCAGCGGTCGACGCATGATCTTCATGCGCTGATCCGTCTGATTCTTAAACCTGCATGCGCCAAGTTAACGGTCGACGCATGACCTTCATGCGCTGAGCCGTGTGAACTGAATGAAACTGTGTGCTGACGGTATGGTCGGCTCATGGTTCAAAAATCTGCAAAAACATAAATTTCTACAGCTTTTTGTGCATTACGACATTGTAAAAATTGAATCATAAGTAGCGTGAATGATTTAAACGAAAGAAGGATATCTCTTAGCAAGTTGTCATCATCAAAAACCAGAGGCACGCTTGTGTTGGTAGATACTTTGCCTTCACAATGACTTTGGGCACTTCTTTAGAACCTTGTTCGGCAGGTACAACTAACCTTAGTACATACTTATGGGGATGGGTAGACCCTAACTCCTTGCACATACCTTTAACCTAGGACTTTGTATATGTGCATTGCATCCATAAAGTATCACATTGAATTATATTTCATCAAATGTAAACCTTATCTATGAGTATCGAAGGATACTATGGATTACAATAAAAAAACACTTTGAGATATTCTTTTAAAAGTCTTAAGCTAGATGACCTAAGGAGGCTAGGATCTTTAGTCCAAGATCACGATGGATTTTGAAACCGGTATGGAAGGTTGTTATCTCTGTTGGAATTAAAAGTGAATGAAGGACTTCTTTCGATTTTTCTACAATTCTATGATCCCGACTACCCTTGCTTCACCTTCCGCGATTATCAGATGCTACCTACTTTGGAAGAATATTCTCAGATTGTAGGGTTTTCTATTGTCGATAAGACTATGTTCCCTTTCTTGGAGAAGAACCCTAAAGAACAAGACATTGCTAAAACCATATGCTCGAAGGTATCCAACATCAAGGGCAATATGATCACCAACAATTGTGAAGATTTTTCCCACATACCCTTGCTTGGTTTTGATGGAGGATTTATTTTCCTCCGACTCCCGATCTACCTTTTGAAGATAGGCATCCTCAAAAAGGCCTAGCTAGAAGAGCAGAGCAAGGAGCAGAACAGGAAGCTTCCTTAGGGTCATTATTAGCTTTTATATTATGCCAAGATTTTTCTAAGAATATTATTTGTAATCCATTTTCAATTAATAAATAACATTTCTTTGGTATTCGTAAATATTTGAATTCCATGAAATCATTTCATTTGCATCTTAGCATCATATTTTTGCATTCCATCTGTCTCCCGGTTTCTCATACTCGGTTCTCTCGCCTTCCAGTTTCGTCACCCTGAGTTCTCTGCATCGATACCACACTAGAGCTCAAGCTCGAAAGAGGATGGAAGACCAAGCTCGAGAATCTGATCGCGTCGACAACGAGCTAGCAGACCTTCGAGGGAATGTAGGAACAATTATGGAGTTGCTCCAGTTTATCAATGCAAAGATGGATGCTCAACCTACTGTGGTCTCTGAGATTGTCGCTACTGTTGCAGATCCTCCACCGATTGTTACTATTGAGAATGCATTTCCTTATGGTTTAACACCCGGTTTCGTACCTCCTCTTGTCGTTACATCAGCTCAGCAAGCTATTCCTGTTGTCGCATCAGTTCAACAAGTTGTTCCTGTTATGCAAAATGTTCAGCAAACTGTGCCTTTGGTTTCTGAGGCTCCTAAACTGGTTCCTACTTTCACACCAGCTAATGTCCACACTCATGTGCAACCTTATCTTAATGAGCCTGTTTATGAAATTCTGGATGATAATGATGGAGGGTACCAGCCGCGTGACAGGCTTCGTGAAGAAGTTCTTACTATTGATAAAAGATTAAGAAAGATGGAAGGGGACCAGATCTTTGGTGTTGTTGCTAGAGACATTTATTTGGTTTCCGGTCTAGTTATTCCGCCAAATTTCAAGACTCCGAACTTTGACTGCTATGAAGGGACTACTTGTCCGAAAAGCCATTTGTTAATGTATTACCGTAGGATGGCTGCCCATGTGGAAAATGACAAGTTGATGATTCACTGCTTTCAAGACAGTCTGAAAGGTGCTTCGTCGAAGTGGTATTTGACATTGGACCAATCCCGTATCAAGTCTTTTCAGGACATGTCTGATGCTTTTATTAAGCATTATAAGTACAACATGGACTTGGCTCCTGACAGGAGGCAACTTTTGAGTATGAATGACCGGTAAATTAACAAGTGTACTAATTATTCCGATGTAGTAATTGTTGCACCCTAATTTTTGACCGTAAGATCCCACCTCTTTTTGCGCATTTCTTGTGTGTTATCTTTTACTTTTGTACGTATGTTTATTGCGGCTAACCAGTTTGCGCAGGTGCAGTAGTGTCAAGGTATAGGTTCTTATAACCAAGCATCACATGGACGTGACTAATATATTCAAGTTCAAAGCTCACCGCTCAAGAATTCAAGATTAATTTAATAAGATTTCTGCATATGAATGAGCCTATCAAATTCAATTCAGAGACTTAAGAGTAGCTAAGGGATTCAGATTCAAAGCCTTAAGGTTTCCACGAGTTGAGGAACAAGGATTTGAGCATGCCCTCGTCAGGGATCAGTGTTATCCCTTCCATATTTCTCAAAGTACTCTCGTCATTTTTTTTTACTCCAGAAGGTTGAGGTCTTCCTTACGTTAATATTGAGCATGAGAGTTTGCGGATTGTCGTGGTTGTTGTAAGGTTATTTTTGAAGTCGTGATGCATCGGTCTCAAATCGAAGTTTTTAAGCTTCAGCCTATTTTGATTCGGGTCATGGTATGTCAAGCTTGGCTGCAAAGCAATGTTGTTTGTGGGCTTATTTTTCCTCGAATAAGTTGGCCATCATTGAAAGTTTCATGGTTTTTTATCAAAAGCATTTAAATCAAGATTAGTGAATCATTGGCTTAATAGCAGGATCATGACGTGTCCTCCATCCAATTTGGTTTGACTTAATTCCCTCGAATTAAAAGGGTTCTTTCGAACTCGTGACCTCTTTGCAAAGTGCATTTCTTTATCTCTTGGATTTTGGATTACAAGGTCAAGGTTGGGATTTTGTCCCTCAAGATCAACATGCTAGGATGCATTGAACTTTAACATTACTACCTTTGAGAATATTGGATTTAGGTCTTTGTTATTCTTATTATTTCCCAAAGTTATTTCTTGATCCAGAGATTGAGGTTGTGAAATTATGGAGGTTTCAAGGTTCGAAGTTTTTATATAAAAGGGGATTGTGTCATAAATATTAAAGTAATTGTTTGGCATAATAACGCTCCCACATGGTCAAGGGATGACAAGTCTCATCAAATGAAGTTCCATTTCCAAATCCAAAATACCATATGATTTGGTCCTCTGCGAGATTCATTTTGGTTATTACAACAATGACGTTTAGAATGGTTTAGCAGGATAATTTGTCTAAAAATTGTTCATATACTTTTGGGACAATCTTAATCCATTAAGCAAACACTAAAAGAGAAATACTTGTTACAAATATAAGGCCATGGAAAGCTAACTCTTTTCCAAAACCAGTTTTTTATTCCTCAAGCGTTGATGTGTGCACTTAATACAGAAAAGTCTTGGTAAATTGACATTAAGAAGAGAAGGTTGAAACATTTGCAAGAGGATGATGACAGCTTTGAAAGTATCCAATGTTCTCACAGTTGTATCGGAGCTCCCGGGTCTATTCCAAGCTCTACCAGTCCATTACCTCTACCAGCGCAGATTTTGAAATTGAAAGAGTTGGAAGGAGGTGACTTCAATCCTCAAACTTCTGCCACGGTCCATCTCACCTATTCTGAACAGCTTTCACGGCTCATAAACGTTTGGTGTTGGGACGAAGTATTCGGCAGCATCACCTGCAATGGTTTAGCACATCAAGTAAGATAACAGCCAAGACAAAACCAGACGAATTCTGAAACAGATACTCTAAGGATAAGTTATTTTCAAAACATTAGTTAAACGAATAACAACATGCTGGCAGCGGTGAGGTACTTTCCGAAACGGAATGCCGACATTGTTCAATGGCAATAATGTTGTTTTCAAGACGGAAGCTCTCGAATCTCACGATATGTCGGGGCAGAACGGGCAGTTTTCACAAAACAATTATATGACAGAAAGAGAGGAAAACCTGAGATCCTAGTCAGCGGAGTGCTCTCGGTGACACCATCGAAGGACTTATGAGACTTTGTATTTAAAGAAGTTGCTGCTACCTTGAAACCAAACACAACCTGTCAAATCAGAGCTCAGTTACGACACGGAAGAATGAAAACGCGTCAAGCTTCAAATAGCCACTTTCATCGATAAAGCTAACTGAAAGCCAGTCAAATAAATCATTTGTTACTATGATAGTGCAGAATCTAAGATTGAAGCATCTGTGTTAAAAGAACGGCTGCTTACCAACTTTTCACCAGATGATGCTTGTCCATTAGGAGTCCAGTTGTCTCTTGATACAACAGGAAACATTTGCCAGTCTGAACTAAAGGATGATAAACATTCTGATATGGTTGGTATTCCACTATTTACTATTGATGATGGCATTCCAGCTTGCGGTTTGGAAAGCCGAGCTAATGCTGATGCACAACAACAACCTGCAGAAAATCGAAGCCTGATTAGTGTTGATGACATTTTGGGTTCAGTTTTTGAGACAACACATCATGTAGGAAGAATTTCTGTTTCAGCACCTTCTAACATGCCATACAAAGAAATGGCTCTCCATTGTGAGGCCCTCCTCGCGGGAAAGCAACAAAATATTTCCACTTTCATGGGTGCCAATTCATTACATGGCTATTCATTCAGGATTTTTGCTCCTACTAATTACAACCATGAAAAGGACAAACCCACAAATTCCAATGTTCAACAGAGTTTACCTTTGGTGAATGGAAATTCATTCTTGGATTCACCCAACACATTGCCAGAGACTGTTCCAAGCCTTCGTGCCACATCATATCAGCAAGAGGATGCCTTCTTTCAACTGCCAGCATCCCGCCCATATGTCAACTTCTTGAAGGCTGCTGGTTGCTGATTAATGAAAAAGGAAGACTTCAAGTAAACCGACCCCTTTCGCTGCATAGTTACTTCCGTCAACTTCGAGACTGCTCAAGTGCCAAGTTCAGTACCACCATGTTTCCGTAACCTGCATCCACAATAAAGATTGGAATTATCAGTCAAAACTTGGAGTGTATTTTCCAGCAGCTTAAACAATACGGCGAGTCGCGGTCATTAGAACAAGAGTTCAGGACAATATAATTGTAACCTTCAAGATTACCTACATCAATATTACACATTATCCAAAAGATGATATTGGCGAGTTTGGATAAATACCGTTTCGGCATAAAATCAGTTAAAACCACATGTTTACCAAGATGATCAATGAGAATTTAATTAAAGGGAGTTAACACTGAGTATACTCATCTTTCCATTATGTCATGACCATGCTTATGACGCTATCAGAGTCAGCGCCACCACCATCTGCTTCCACCATAATCAGCACTGTCACGAAATGCCCGTAAGCCGCTAAATCCTTTAATGGATCTTCCCGTTGCTGTTTTAAAATAATTAAGCCAGTCTACCTCTCCAAGGACCTACTGCAATAAATTGAGAAGAGACAATTTATATCACAACTTATCAAATTATCACTACAAGTATGTGGAACAGAAGAGATTAAACGTAACTCAACTCAGGAACACCCTTTGCTGCTCTAACGTACTCGCAACCTGCAGTCCAATAACAATATTAACGACACCACAACAGCACTCGGTCACCATTTCCTGCAAACCGAAACGCAGACACATTATTTGACCTCCAACGCAATCACACTTAAATGAGTAAATTGAAAAGAGGGAAACCATCAAACTTGTAAGAGGCCCAAGTCATTACCATTTAAATACAGAGGGCATTCGAGCGCCGGCTACGACATTCTTGCCACACCAGTCATTGGTTCATCCATTTTGCACTTATAGGAATTTATTCGTTGGTCTTCCCCATCCCTGCGAGAATAACCAAAGTCATCAGCTTACAAAGAGCCTACAGACCTTCCGTTAATCAATTGATTACCGCTATCTTTGAAAACCATAAAATTATTACCAAGAAACGCATACTCAGCAACAAAAGGAGTTGGTTCCAGCGAATTCTCCAATTCGTAATGTATCTAGCGTGAGAGATTACTCCAGAAGAGCTTGAAAGCAAATGCTATAATTGGAATGGAAGAGCCTCCAAATCAGTATCAGTAGCAATATCATTACTCTTCGATTCGATGACTATAATCCCTGGAGATACGTTGCAAATGTGCTGCAAACAGAAGAAAGGAATGGAGTCAATTGTCTTTCCATTTTAAAAGTGACATGTTCGAACATGTTCTAATCTAAAAGGAAATAAATTAAAGCGAGAAATCAACGTGTGACATTTTCAAGTTTGTCTTCTTCCGGCCAAACCAACAAGGAAAGATGATTAAGCACATTCAATTCAGTTTTTTCGAAGTACTATAAGAGGACAGGATTCAGGGGACTTTCAAGGAAAAGAAATTGACAACAGTCCATAATATTCACAGAGAAATCCCAAATCCAACAAAAAAACCTAAAAATGCAAAAGTTCGAAAAGAAAGCACTTGTCTGTGTGTTCGAATCCACCACTGAAACGGCAACTGTCACGCCGTCCGAACTTAAAACCACCGGCGAAAACCCACACCTAATCCTTCCACCAGCCATCCGTCCACCACCGAAGGAACTATCGTCACCGTCATCGCGGGTAATGTTCTCTTCAATCGGTGTTTTCATTTGTGATTGATGTGTGTTTTGTGGTTTTTTTTGTTTGATAGGGAATGGAGAGGAGAAGAACGGGTCGTAGAATCAAAGTGGAAACGGTGAAGAGAAAAGAAAGAAGAAACGTGAGAAGAAGAGAAATGAGGGAGAAACGAGAGGAGATTGGCGAAAAGAGAGACGGAGAAGACAGCGATCGGGGGGAAATGGGATTAGGGTTGCGATTCATTCTCTTGTTCTGTCTATTGTTGTAACATAATCAAATACGTGCACACACACCATAGCTATGGTGCGCACCTCACATACACCCGTCAGATCCAATGTCTGACGCGATCTCACGGCCTTATCGCGCAGACCATCATAAACCCCGTAGACCACACACGCACAACCTCTTGCCCAGCCTAATCACTCCCTAATTATACCGTTAAAACCACTAATCCCTATTAATTAATCGTTAATCAACTTATCATTTATTTAATTAATTAATCAATTAATTAATTACCCCTTTTCTTTAATCAACCGTTTAAAAATCTCCTTTTAAATTAACCATTTTAATTAATCCTTTTTTTTTTAACTCTTTAACTTAATTTATCTAATAATTTCTTATTCACCTTCTATTTAATTTTGTCATCAATCTTAATAACCCTTTTTATAATATTTAATTTACTCATTTTTTTAATAATAAAAATCTTTACTTCATCTAATTTAACTCTTATTTATTTAAAATCTATTTAATAATAATAACTAAAAACTCTTTTATGAAAAAAAAAAACCTTTTTAATTTAATATGTTATAATAACAATTTTTATTTAAGAATAAACCTCTTCACATTTAAATTAATTTTATTTAATAAGGTAAAAATAAAACCTCTTAGATATCTAGACTTTTTTAAAAACCACTTCTTAAAATTTAATTAACCGTCTAACCTTTTTACTAGAACACGTAGCTAATATAATTAATACCACCTTTTTATAAAATCAACCTCACCAAATTAATTAACATTTCCCATTGTTGCACCCCAAAATTTGACCAACCGGTTCCATATCTGGTTTATGTTTCGACGCATTTTGCATTCGCATTCGCATATTGCATGCATGGCATTTTTCTCAGTCAGATCGATTTTATCGGGATTGCCGCCCTTGGCGCTTCAGGCAGTTCAGGCCGGTTTGGATAAGTGTATTTTGAGAATTGGTGCTCGTTCCCGGTGTTTTCAGGCTATCTCGGTGCCCGGGTTTCGCTATGGTTGTGCAATCGTTCTCTAATCAATTTAATCGGCTTCCTGACATTTTTAGAATTTTTCCTTTTATTTTCTAGATTTTTAATGCATTTAATAGATTTTTTTAATAGATTTATTTGTGTTTTAGATATTAAATAGGTTAATATTTTGTTTTCTAGATTTTTTTAAATAGAAGTAAATAGTTTTTTTAGATTTTTTAAATAGATAGTCCCTTTTTTAAAATAGTTTTAATGGTTTTTTTTAGTCTATTAGATATTAGTTTCTTTGCATTAAATAGAATAGTTTAATATAGATTTTAGATTTTTTTAACAATAGTTTTTGATATAGTTAAAAAAAAAGGGAATATAATAGGTTTTAATAGATTTTTTTTTAATTGATTTTATAGATTTAATTGGAATTTTAATAGTTTTTTTAGATTTTAAATAAATCTTTTTCTGTTTTTTAATAGGTTAATTAGGGTTAATGTTGTTTTTAGGATTAATTAGGGTTTTATTAGTAATTTTCGTTTAGTCTTTAATTAGGATTAATTAGAGATTTTGATTAAGGTTTCTTAATTAATTTCATTTAGTTTAATTAGGGTTTTCATTAGCATTTAATTAGGTTTTAATTAGAATCAGAGTTAATAATGGGCCATTATCCAGTCAGGCCCAGTCAGAAGGTCCAAAAGTTGGTGCCAAGTGTCATTTAAATAACATGCCACGCGTGTCATCATGCTTTCAGCCACCTCACTTCTGCCACTTCACAGATCCCTCCACACGTGTCTCATCCCTTTCTCTTCCCTCAGCCACGCGTCCTCACCACCTTTCCCTCTGGCTGCATGTGAAGCACGTGGATCCCACCGTCCAAGTCTCGCCGCCGGCCATGCAAACGGTCGGAGGCTTCGCCGGAGAAATCATTTCCCACCGTAACGGTCGCCGGAGCTCCCAACTGTTCGCCGGAAAATTGCACGTCACCGGAAAACTGCAGATCGCAAAATCCAGATCTTCGTCCCTTTCATCAGTTCGCCAACAATCTTCATAGACTTTCCAAGAAATTCCCAGAATCGCCATTCACCTTCATCGCCCTCATCGTTTTGTTTTCCAGATCATTCTTCATCTTCATCCAGTTCGTCATTCCCCAGATTTCACCAAGAACTCCATCAATATTCAAGTTTTTTCTAGGAAACTTCCAACGAGTTCAAGAACTTTCACTTCCTTAACCTCCAGATCTCCTCCGATTTCAACACTCCAAGATCTCACCGAACATCATAACCGCCGAGGATCTTCAAGAAGTTCTTCAAAGAAATTTCATCAGGATTCATAGGCCGCTAGTTCTTCTCCTTTTCGTCAAGAACTCTCAGGGTTCGTCAGAAGCATCTGCGCCATCATCAGTTTCCAGAACTGCTCCGTGGATATGCATCGCGTTCGTAGATCTTCATCACGCTCGTGAGGATCTTCCAGAAAGCCTCAAACATCGTCAAGAGCGTCCAAGCTTCAAGATCCTCCTTAACAGCTTCAAACTTCAACTTCATCATCTCCAGGAAATCGCCACGTTCTTCAGACTCATCGTATTTCCAGGTTGGTGTTCATCTCGTTCATCGTTTTTGTGAGAGTGAGACAGGTGTTTATTTGAGAAGGTTGAAAGAGAGTTTGTGAGGGATAGAAGAATTGAACGGAGAGATAGGTTGGGAGATGGAATGAGAGAGTCTCAGAGAGAGAGATTTGAGAGCGCCGCTAGGGCTTTCTGAGAAGGTGATGAATAGTAGTGGAGAAGGGATTTGGAGGCTTAGGGTTTTCGTTTTACTAAGGCTGAGATTGGATTGGGTCAGGGCCTTAGGCCCATTGTGGTTGTCTTACTGATCCTACTCCCTGTTTCCCCAGTGACACCCCCTCTCCCACATGTTTTGCGTTTTGGGCCCAGATGGATTCGCTATCCACACCCCCCAGTCTGGGGCCCAATATGATAACAAGGAGAATATTTGCTATTCGCCACCCCCCGTTTGTTCTTTTTTCTTGGTTTTTTAATGTTTTTTCTGAAGTAGTACTGGGCTTA